GATAATGATTTCAGCAGAAGAAAATTTGTAGATTAAACTCACAGCATAAGCATGTTCCGTGATGCACTTGTGAAGTGTTGGCTTATCACGCTTCATAAGAGCTTTGTGCGCTTCTTCATAAATTAAATCAGCCGTAGGACCAAATGTCTAGATAGACAAACATATAACTGTTGCAAACTATTGAAATTTGAAAGATACCTTAGCATCGAATTTCTCGAAACCTTCTTTCTTTCGAATTCTGTTCGTTCCATTCTTCCAGTTGTGCCATCGATGAAGTGCTCTTTGCTAAATTTCCTTTGGTTTGAAAATATACCGATCACTTCGGCACCTATACCTTAAGCTCCTCCCTTTTCATTTTCAATCCTTCAACTCCGGCACCAAGGAAGGGTAAAGTCTCGCCACTTTCAGGTGTTACAAAAGGATCAATTACAGCATCTGGATTGATAATTTGTAGGGAACTTACGTGACAAACAGAATAATAAAGTAGCAAACATACAAAAGGAAGACATTGTGATCTGTGCTTCTTGCCATGCCCTTGGCTGAACTTCTTTATAAGGATTTATACCCTTTTTAAGCAGTTCAAGTCTTAGCTCAGATGGTGACATTTTCTCACGACGACGTTGTTCCTCATCATCGGGAAGATCTATCACAACTGTCTTTCTACCACGTAACTATAAACAAAGAACATTTGAAAATAGACTTAATTAGATTAAGGGAAACACACTTTTCGGAACATTTTCTCATTCACATGAGTGTTTCTATTGGCTCTAGCCTTATTCGATCGTTTTATTCCAAGAAACCGAGCGAGATCATGTCTTTCTAAGTGATGATGGACAGAAGCTTGTTGCATGATGTTCGGAGCAGTTGCTATAAGTCCTGGTAATCCCGTTCGAGTAAGCGGACATAACCGACTTATCATTCTGAAAGCAGAGGATGAATTAGCAGGTCGAGTTTATGTGTTTTGAAATGAAAAGGAATGATTAGGAGCAGGAACATTACAGATGAAGTTATAATGAAATAGTTAGATGCATCGCTGTCCTCTCGTGGGAGCTTATTAGATAAATTCAACGAAGCTTTCTATAGTAAAATGAATGTGTGAAAGCATAGAAGTATTACTTCCTAACTGTTTACTACAACGCTTTTTGCCCAAGCGAAATACGGAGAATCCTCTTCTTACGGCCAAAAAAAGTGGAAAAAAATTGAAAGCGTACAAAAACCTGCAAGCATGGACTCCTGTCACCTTTTGCCTCCAACCCACAACTAATGGACGTCCTTCCAAGTGAAATGAAAAAAAGTTATGCAAAAGGATACAATCCAAGGAAAAATCCAGGTACCCAGGTTAGCAAAGTTCCCGGAAAAGCCACCACAGAAGAGGGAATGACAAAAATTTCATAGACTACAGACCTGACACTACAAATTACGTCTATTCCTACACAACACAAAAGTATCGCTACAGTAACGCAACTAAGACTTTTGCTGGATTTTAACTTTTGCTATTTTCACCTCTTATATGAGAACAAAGGTTGTTGGTTAAACAATGTGATTTCTTTACGGTTTATATATGTAAATCATGCAAATTTGAAGTTGCTTATAATGATTTCAAATGCATGCCTGAACTAAATCTATTTTAAATTTCGATTAGCACGCATTTGCTTTAAAAGCACATTTTTACCAGGCGAATTGAAACCATCATCTGACTTCACTGTTTTTTTTTTCTTTGCTCTTTTGGTAAGCTATTTCAATAAAGCCTAAAAAACCAGATAATTCTTTTTCTAGTTCCTAAGTCTTTCATGAGAAGGT